GACAAATTGGGTAACTTTAGTTCAGCAATTTTGACGCGAAGTAGGTTTGGAAAAGTATACATCGTAGTTTGACAAAGCAAGCTAGGAAAATCCTTTTGCTCCAACTTCACTTTTTTCCTGGAATATTCGAAGCAGTAACACAAAGCATCCATTTGGTTCATGGGATGATGCAGGATTAGAATACCAACGCATGTCATCCATTTAGTTGGATTTATACACGGGATCAATCATCTTTGTTAGCCAGAATAACGCCATGTCCAGGGGATAAAATAATCCATGGGGGAGGTGGTATTATTAATCCTATGATGACAAATAGATGTGATAAGAAACATTATTATTTTTAAGCTATTTTGCACTAAAAGGGTACCCACTGGATTAAAGCTACTCTCACCAAACATAAAATTGGACTTTTTATTGGATATCCAACTGTTAACAGGTATCTTGAGAGGAAAACATCTAGTCACTGTATTATGAGTGACCAACTAATATTTATAGAAGTACAAACCTAATAAACTATTTACAAGAATACCCTTACTAATTTATTAGCTACAAGCATACTTATATTCTCTTAACACTCCCCCTCAAGTTAGCATATATATCATAACCACCCAACTTGTTACAAATGTATTTCACCATAGAGCCCCCTAAACTCTTGGTAAACACATCAGCCAATTGATCTACAGACGGTACATGAGATGTCTTGATGACCCCGTCAAGCAATTTTTCTCGAATGAAATGACAATCAACTTTAATATGTTTTGTCATTTCATGAAACACTGGATTAGACGCAATATGAACAGCCGCCTGATTATCACACACTAAATTCATAGACTGTTTATGCTCAAACCCAAGTTCAAGTAACATGCTCTTCAACCAAACCAACTCACACACAGTATAAGCCATAGCGCGGTATTCTGATTCTGCACTTGATCTGGATACAACTGTTTGCTTCTTACTCTTCCACGACACTAAATTACCACCAACAAACACACAATATCCTGTAGTTGATTTTCGATTGAGGCAGAACCAACCCAATCTACATCACTATATCCTTCAATATCAGTGTGTCCATGATTTTGATACAGCAACCCTTTTTCAGGAGCACTTTAAGATACCTGAGAATCCGTATAACAGCAACCCAATGACTAGTACGAGGGGTATCAAGAAATTGACTCACAACACTCACTGCAAACGAAATGTCAGGTCTCGTTACAGTAAGATAATTTAATTTACCCACAACTCTTCGATATTGCTTAGGATCATCAAGCAATGCACCTTGATCTCCTGCTAATTTCACATTGGAATCCATAGGAGTATCTACAGGTCGACAACCTAACATCCCAACTTCACTCAACATATCGAGTACATATTTTTTTGACATAAATAAATCCCATATTTAGACCGAGCTACCTCAATACCCAGAAAATACTGTAGATGACCTATATCCTTTGTCTGAAAGTTTGCCTGTAGATTGGATTTAAGTTTCTGGATCCCCATAACATCATCACTTGTAATCACAATATCATCCATATAAACAACTAATAAAATTTTACCAGCATTAGAATGCCGATAAAATACAGAGTGATCTACTCTCCATTTTGTCAGACCGAACTCCATGACAACACTACTAAACCGGCCAAACTAAGCTCTCGGAGACTGTTTCAATCCATATAAGGATTTTTTCAAACAACAAACCAACCGCGGATTCTCTCCCTGAACAACAAATCCAGGAGGTTGTTCCATATATACCTCTTCTTCCAAATCTCCATGCAGAAATGCATTTTTCACATCCAACTGATGCAATGACCAATTATAAGTTGCTGCCAAAGAGATAAGAAGACGAACAGAGGTAATCTTTGCAACAGGAGAAAATGTTTCTAAGTAATCTACTCCATACACCTGAGTAAATCCTCTAGCTACCAGACGAGCTTTCAATCTATCAATAGAATCATTAGGCTGCACTTTTATAGTGTACACCCATTTACAACCAACAACAGGCTTACCTGAAGGACGAGGGACAAGATCCCAAGTACCATTTTGTTCCAAAGTAGACATCTCTTCTTGCATAGCTAATCTCCAACCAGATGATTAAGAGCATAGGTAATAGACTTAGGAATGGAGACAGAATCAAGCAACAAAAGAAGAATATGACATAGAGAGACGGAATACAAAATTAGAAATAAGATGGGAGTACAATGTCTCTTACATTTGCGTAAAGCAATAGGAAGATCTAACTCACAGGTGGGCGCCATACCTGAAATTTGAAGTTAATTTGAAGTGCGTATCATATCAGGAACTTTCTCAACCATGGAACGACGAGACTAAACTTGAAGATGAGGACGAGATAATCGAGCTATGGACTTTGTGGATTAGATAACTTAGGTAATAAAGGGGAAGGGACTGGTACAACAGAAGAGAAATACTAGTCTAACTCACAAGGCATACTTTGTTTGATAAAATATGAAGTGGATTCAAAGAAAGTAACATCAGCACAAGTAAAAAATCGATTTAAAACTGGACTGTAATATCTATACCCTTTTTGCGCTCTTGCGTATCCTAAGAAAATACACTTAATGGCACGAGAATCTAATTTATCCACCCCGGAAGCAAGCTGATAAACAAAACACACACACCCAAAAATACGAGAAAGTAATTTAAACACAGATTCATGAGGAAAAAGCACGGAGTGAGGTAATTGGCCTCCAAGAATATTAGATGGCATGCGATTAATTAAATAACATGCATTTAGAACTGCATCACTCCAAAATTGTTGGGTACATTCATGTGCAACATAAGTGTCCGAGCAACCTCGATTAAGTGTCCAATTTTTCTTTCAGCAACTCCACTCTGTTGTGAAGTGTGAGGACAAGAGAACTGATGAATTACCGGACTTAGTCATGAAGGTATTAAAACGAGCGGAAAAATATTCTTTCGCATTATCACTGCGAAATATACGTACAGACACACCAAATTGATTCTTTATTTCTGTAACAAATGCACAAAAATGGAATATAGTTTGAACGATCTTTCATTAAAAAAGCCATGTAACTCTTGAAAAATCATCAACAAAGATTACAAAATATTTAAAACCTAACATTGAAGTGACTCGACTAGGATCCCAAACATCAGAATGAACTAGCATAAAGGGTTCAGAAACCCGTTTATTGACTCTAAGAGCAAAAGAAACACGATAATGCTTTCCTAACTGACAAGACTCACATTCTAATGAAGACAACTGACTCAAAGTAGGAACCATTTTTCAAATTTGTAAAGACGAATGACCAAACGACAGTGAATTTCAAGAGGAAAACAGTAGCAGGACATGCAATCGGAGCCATTGAAATTAAGAAATAAAGACCATTATGGTCATGCCTCCACCAATCGTCTCTTTGTCTTCAAATCCTGAATGACAACGAAATCAGGAGAAAAAGTAACTGAGCACTGTAGAAATTTAGCGAGCTTACTAACAGACATTAGATTAAAGGACAAAGTGAGTACGTAAAGAACAGAAGACAGTGGAAGAGATGGGTTAACTTCTACAGTGCCTAGTCCTTTAACTTTAGTGGTAGATCCATCAGCTAAAGTAACATGAGAAAAGGAAGTAGACTCTTGAAAATTAAAAAAATTTTTAGAGGTACCTGACATATGATCAGTAGCCCTGGAGTCAATAATCCATGAGTCATTACCTTTTTGTGCTAAAGAAGCAGAGGAAGAAATGCGTGATTTGTACCATGGTACTGTAGGAATTTAACATAATCTTTCTCAAATATAGTAACAGTCTTCTGGGACCCATGTGCCGAAGAACTTGATTCAACTTGGTTAGTGGTAACCTTATTAGCAAAACTCTCAACCATAGCGAAAAGCACTTCAAACAAAAGAAATGTCAAAACTCGAGACAAACAGTGCTGCGTGAACAGTGCTGCGTGAAGAGTAACGGAGTGAACAGGACGCGTGAACAGTACGGCGTGAACAGTAACGCGTGAACAGTGCCGCTATAAACAATAACAGCGTGAACAGTACTTTTACAAAATGTTTAACCCTAACCTAGGATTTTAGCTCTGATACCATGTTAACAGGTATCTTGAGAGGAAAACATCTAGTCACTGTATTATGAGCGACCAACTAATATTTATAAGAGTACAAACCTAACAAACTATTTACAAGAATACCCTTACTAATTTATTATTTACAAGAATACTTATATTCTCTTAACACCAACGAATAATCCAATACTAACCAAAATAGAAATAATTATATGAGACATCCAAGTATGAATCATCCATGGAGAACTAATCTCGTTATCTTTTCCCTAATCCCATACATGAACCAAATAAGCCCCAAGGAATTCATCATTTCAAGTGGTGCCTTTTTAAGATATCTCATAAATTTTCATTTCTATGCATAGAATTTTCAAGAAAATTTTTTTTACCCAATTAATTTGTTAATATGCCCCACTCACAAAAAGAAAATGTACAATTCAAATGTTGTGTTGTAAAAGAATTTCTTTCTACCTTGATATTGATAAAAAAATATTAATATAAATATGTACCTATATTTGATCTGGTAACATTTTTAATAAAAGAATCAAGTACCACGCATAATCCATCGCTTTAAAGATGTTTCAAACACTACCTCAATAAATTAATAGTTTAGTTTACTCCTTACTGGTGATTTTTTTTAATACAGAAAAAATTCGTGCTCTACTTTAGTAGGTTCCTTACACCCCTCGTCATTTTTAATAATAATGCATGCCGCTACTTCATATTTCTTACTGTGTATTTATTATTGGCCGATACTATTTGTAGAGCTTTGTTTTCATTGTGCCCCAACTGAAAATTTTCTGGCTCCGCCACTAGTCAGCAGATGGAACCAACTAAAGGTATTTCAACTAAGTATCCATATATTTCCACTGAGGTTTTCTCATTCTCATAACTTTATCCCATCTCCACATCAGTGACATTTCTCCTTTAAACAGACTCATAATTCCTGATAGCAAAAAAAAAAAAAAAAAACTTCACCTATAGAACAGAGTCCACAACTTTCCCTGTGCTGCAGCACTCCATAGATGCTGTTTTTCACCCACATACCAGGAGACACTATACTCAAGAATGGATTTAAGTGAGCGAGAACTGACACGCCCAATAAGCAGCTTTATAGAAGCACCAGTCATGGAACAGACTTTGTTGTCATGGTCATTAGCCAAACAAACCACCAGATGCACAAATATCGTCTGTGACTGCTCATCAAGAATACTTGCTGGAAACTTCATTATAATGGCATGCAGCATTTCAAGTACAGCTTCTCTTCCAGAAGAATGTTCATATCTGCATCCAACACAAAATATCCGTATGAGAAGTCATAACAGAGTAACAACTCCAACAACAAATGACTCTGCCACAAACACTACAAGAATTCAATAAACTTGCCTGAGATTCGCAAGAAAGAAATCAAGATGCTGCTGCAAGCGTTTCTCTGACAGATGAAAGTCAAGCAAAATTTGGAGTAAAATTTGACTACATTTCTTACGTATTGATTCCACTTGGCTGGTTATCATCAGCTCTGCAACCCTCTTGACAACATCATACATCTCAGGAACTACCAGCTTCCTATTCAGTATTGATTTTAGAAGGGAAAGAGACACAATAGATGGATTTCTTTTTCTATGTCAACAAATAAAGGAAACTAAATTAACAGGTGCAACTGATCTGCTGAAAGTATAACACCAGTGTTATGAAGAAGCACAGTCAACAGCCTCAAACAAGACTCCACCAAAGGATTGCCAGCATTTGCTGAACGTTGAGCAATAAACAATAAAGAATTCTTTATCTTGTCAGACTGGGATTCAAGGGAGGGCAGAGGTAATCGTACTAGAGGAGAAAGGCATCTGAGTGCTGTCGTCACAATGTTCTCGTTTTTTGAACTCAAGCAATCACCCAACAAGTGAACCAAAGGGTCTAACAGTGACAGCTGCTCCTCGTCTTTTCTGTTCAGTCTCATGCCCTTAATGTGATTTTGCAATAATCCAAGTGCAAAACCAGTAATTAAGTGAGAATATCTGGGCCCAAGATTTATTAACCTATCTGAATTAATCATTTGACTATCCACCAGATCACAATCTCCTTTCCCTGCTTCTGACATATATACGTGTTTGCTTTCATGATTTACATCATCTATGCCATCCTTAATGAGACGATATACAAATATAAACAGTTCAGTTTGATCTACAGACGCATTAGATTGAATTCCATCAGCAACGTGATTCAACATATTCTCCAATTTCGATTTCTATTTTGAAGATAGCTGCTTCTGTAGATGAGCTGTAACAAGAGAAAGAAACTTCATAGCATGGGTTCTAAATGTGATGTTTTGCGCAATCAATTTGAGGGTTTCAAATGACTTCTGCTTCCGAGTCTCCTTCATTTTTTAAGCAATTTTGTCCACCTCTTTCTGCTCAGAAACATCTCCAAGTATATCAATCTCTATCACTGAAAAAAGATCTTCAAGACAAGAATCCAACTTCCCCCTAATGGGATTTATAAGAAACTTTGACAATATAAAATTTAGGGTATAAGCAAGTGTGTGCAATTTAGATCCACTTTTGAGGGTGCCCCTCAAGACTTTGACCATGAATTGTAGGTGCTCCAACCCTAGCTCCTTTAAACAAGCAGCCAAAGCCAATCTAGCCTCATCTCGAACACTCTCCAAGCGATGCTTAAGGAAGTTGGAGATGCGATGAACAATATTTGGAAGTTGCAAATTCATAATTTCACCAGGAAGTAATTTGAGTAACTTAAGGGCAACTAGACTAATGTTCACATTCACATTATCAGAATCAGATAGCAATTTTTGTATCTTGGGAAGCATTGTCTTCTGATTACATGTCTGTATATCAGAAAATTTAGCTGGCTGTGTGCATCTCCTCAATTCTCCAGAAGATATTCTCTCAAAAGCTTCGGCACGAAGAACACCCTCTGCAGGAGTTTCAGAGAAGCGAAAGTGGTCCAGAATACAGCATGTTAATCGCAATATGACCTTCTGCTTCTCTCGTTTAGTCATTTCTCGAAAGCAGTTCATTAATAGTTCATAGTACTGTTTCCAGGTCATGCAACTAGCAATTGATGCGATAGCCTCTGTTAAGAGAATATAAGTATTCTTGTAGGTAATAAATTAGTAAGGGTATTCTTGTAAATAGTTTGTTAGGTTTGTACTCCTATAAATACTAGTTGGTCACTCATAATACAGTGACTAGATGTTTTTCTCCCAAAATACCTGTTAACATGGTATCAGAGCTAAAGTTCTAGGGTTAAGGTTAAATATCTAGCAAAAGTATTGTTCAGCCGCATTGTTCATCGCGGCACTGTTCTTGAGTTTTGACTCTTTCTTTGGTTTAAAGTGCTATTTGCTATGCTTGAAAGGTTTGTTAATGCGATTACCACTGACCAAATTGAATCTAGTTCCCAGAAGACTGTTACTATATCCGAGAAAGATTATGTTAAATTCCTACAGTACCAAACTACAAATTACACATCTCTTCCCTTTGTTTCTTTAGCACAAAAAGATAATGACTCATGGATTATTGATTCCGGGGCTACTGATTATATGTCATGTACCTCTAAAAACTTTTCTAATTTTCAAGAGTCTACTTCCTTTCCTCATGTTACTTTAGCTGATAGATCTACTACTAAAGTTAAAGGATTAGGCACTGTAGAAATTAATCCATCTCTTCCGCTGTCTTCTGTTCTTTACGTACCCGATTTGCCCTTTAATCTAATGTCTGTTAGTAACCTCACTAAATTTCTATAGTGTTCAGTTATTTTTTCTCCTGATTCTGTTGTCATTTAGGATTTGAAAACAAAGAGGACGATTGGTGGAGGGCATGAGCATAATGGTCTTTATTTTCTCAACTCTAATAGTCCGATTGCATGTCCTGCTACTGTTTCTCCTCTTGAAATTCACTGTCATTTGGGTCATCCGTCTCTACAAAATTTGAAAAAGTTGGTTCCTACTTTGAGTCAGTTGTCTTCGTTAGAATGCGAGTCTTGTCAGTTTGGGAAGCATCATCGTGTTTCTTTTCCTCCTAGAATCAATAAATGGGTTTCTAAACCTTTTTTGTTAGTTCATTCTGATGTTTGGGTTTCTAGTCGAGTCACTTCAAAGTTAGATTTTAAATATTTTGTAATCTTTGTTGATGATTTTTCAAGAGTTACATAGCTTTATTTAATGCAAGATCGTTTAGAACTATATTCCATTTTTTGTACATTTGTTACAGAAATAAAGAATCAATTTGGTGTGCCTGTATGTATACTTCGCAGTGATAATGCGAACGAATATTTTTTCACTCATTTTAATACTTTATGACTAAATCTGGTATTATTCATCGGTTCTCTTGTCCTCACACTCCACAACAGAATGGAGTTGCTGAAAGAAAAATTGGACATTTAATCGAAATTGCTCGAACACTGTTGTTGCACATGAATGTGCCTAAACAATTTTGGAGTGATGCAGTTCTAACTGCATGTTATTTAATTAATCGCATGCCATCTAATATTCTTGGAGGTCAATTACCTCACTCCATTCTTTTTCCTCATGAATCTGTGTTTAAATTACCTCCTCGTATTTTTGGATGTGTGTGCTTTGTTCATCAGTTTGCTCCCGGGGTGAATAAATTAGATTCTCATACTATTAAATGTATTTTCTTAGGATACGCACGAGTGCAAAAAGGATATAGATGTTACAGCCCAATTTTAAATCGATTTTTTACTTGTGCTGATGTTACTTTCTTTGAATTCACTCCATATTTTATCAAACACAGTATGCCTTGTGAGTTAGACCAGTGTCCTTCTTTTTCCTCTCCTGTTTTACCAGTCCCTTTCCCTTTATTACCTGAGTTATCTAGTCCACTAGATTCCATAGCTCGATTATCTCGTCCTCATCTTCAACTTTACTCTCGTCGTTCCATGGTTGAAAAAGTTTCTGATATGCCACGCAGTTCATCAATTAACTCTCAATCTTCAAATCCAGGTATGACGCCCTCCTCTGAGTTAGATCTTCCTATTGTTTTACGCAAAGGTAAGAGACATTGTACTTCCCATCCTATTTCTAATTTTGTTTCTTATTCTCGTCTCTCTATGTCATATTCTTCTTTTGTTGCTTCCCTTGATTCTATCTCTATTCCTAAGCCAAAGATTTCTCAATTTCCAATCTGGTATTGTCTCCTAAGCCAAAGATAACCAGCTATAACCATATATATGATGAGAAAAGATAGAAGAGACACGGTATACAGGACATCAATCAGTTATTTATACTTTAGACACTAAGGAAGGGAAGAACATGGTAGAACAGTTGAAGTGAATGCATAGAGAATAACAGCTTAGAACCCCCTCTACGGTGTTCATCTTGTGTATCTTCCTATGCTCATAAAATTTCACAAAAAAAATGAGGGGGGTGGGGGGAACAGCACTAGCAACATGTATTTTTCTCCTAAGAAGTGCGTTTAAATTTGACACCCTGTTTTTGCAACATTCTTACTCAAATATATATGTAATACACAAGAAATTTAGCCATGCTATCAAAGGAAAGCTATTCATTTTCATAACAGAAAAGGAAAGACGCAAGAACCTAACACCAAGAATAAACTCCTATGTGCATATATTTCCCAGTTAAAACAAACTCATGAATTACCTGTAAATGAATAACATTATTGAAGAAATCCTGCTCTGGATCTTGACTGTACAAAGTTCCATAAGATTCGAGGTTTGCAACCTTTGGAAGCTTCTACACCATTTCTCGCAGTAAATCAATCCAAAGCTGAAACCAAACCCACAAATATTTTAAACAAATACTTCCATCTTATTAAGAAAAGAGACAGAGACAAGCACCCCCAAAAACAATTGACTTTTGACTTCAAGCTTCATACCTTTTGAACAGAAGTTTCCCTATTCATTGCATTTCCCATATGCTTCAAAAGAAAGCTAGTTACAATATGCTGAATAGGAGCTTCAGTCCAGCACCCTTGATCAGATTTATCCTTTAACTCAACAATTTCAGAGGCAAATTCAACAAAGCAGAGCAACAATCTATATGCACTCTGCCGCAAGATCAACTCTTCAGATGACATGTCATATGCAGACTGAGACAAAATGATCAGCGCATGCTCTTTCCCCACCGTGTGGAAAAACTCCCCGTTGATCTTTTCATATGCACCAATTATAGTGTCATAATCAAGGGACCCAATATCCATTGCGGAGGTTGCATTCATTTCATTCAGAAGCTTTGCCTAGACACAAGAAACTGGGGGTTTACTAAAGACAATGATAACCTTGTAACTGAACCAGAAAAAAAAATAAATATTACCACGACAAAGACAGAAGAGTCATCTTTAGCAAGAGCATTAAGAACATCACAAATGGACTTCCTGACATCTAGCCCAGCAAATGTAAGCAAGGGAGATACTGAACTCAAAATTTTAGAATTATTTTCACTTCCCACAACTTCAACCACAGATTGAAGTATCTGTAAAATGACAACACAAGAATCTGCCAAGGAAAATTTAAAGAAAAAATTGGTAGTCGGAATAGGAAGTTGTAAGGAAACAAAAATACATCAAGCAATTATAAGCAAAAGTTAGAAGCAATCTTCAACCAGAGTTTCGGAGTCTCTTTGCGAGGAGTGAAGCAAGATATCAACAAATTTCTTGTCTGTTAAAGGCTCCGTTATGTACTTCGACAATAATTTGAACACAAAAGAGCTCGTTATCTGCAGGATGCCTGACCACATAACAAATGGCATCCACCCCATGATTAGGCAAAAGAAAAAGTGATCTATCAAATATTAGAACATGTTTCATCTGTTTAACATGGCAAATCTAAGCAATCTATACAAAGAAGTTAGTGCAATCTCTACATCACAGACAAATCAAAGCTTTTCATCCCTACAAAGAACGAGAAACAAGATCAATATTGTTAAGAATCTGATAATTGAGCAACCAGAGTTCCAAAAAAAGCATCACAGGCATTATGGGAAGCAAAGTAAATCAAATTTTTTTTTCCTTTTTTTTTTTTGGCGCTGGAGGAGGGGAGTTGGAAATGCAAAACGGAGAAGAAATGACATCATGTGGAGCATGATGAGCAGAGGACCGGTGCAGTAGTTGTGAAATATCAAGGTATAGAAGGAGAATCAGAAGAGAAAAAAAGGTGAAGGAAAGAGCAGTGTCTTCCAGAAGAAAGGAATAGCACTTGCCACCAGGGAAAATAGAGGACGACTTAATTACTCACTATGATGTCCAATTCTTGTGAAGGCATCTTCCAGTGCAACAAGGTCCATGATGAAACACTACCACTCTAAAAAACTGAGCCTCGTAAAAGTGGAGCAGTAAGAAACTTTAGATTTGCATTATCTAATTTTCTTTTCTTTTCCCTCTAGTGAAATTTGGCTCAAGTCGAGTTCTGTCAAAACATTCTGAAAAAGATCCCCTTCTACCAGTATGGCTGACCTAAATAAGCAAGAGCTAAATGCCATGTCAAAGTATTTGAAGAAGGAACTCCAGCTTCTGATTGGGTGATTTAATCCTATTCATGGTACTAGTACACAACAAATATCTGCATATGCTCTAAACAAGTTCCCCAAAACACTTTGATGGAAGCTCATGACAGGTAGGGACTCAATGTGCAGGGTGTCTATAAGCATGTACACACGTTACAAAGAAAATCTCCAGGTTCTTCTCTAAGAAAAGCCTAAAACATTTATATCAAAAAGCTTGTTCACAAACTCATAGTAGATGAGTAATTTTCCCCAACGGTTTTTAACCATCCGAAAATCATCATCCCAAAATTTCATACTCTTGCACTTTGATATTTGAACGCATCCAAATCATATGGCCTCAGTAGTTTTCATCCATTAGGAAACAAAAAAAAAAGTCAAGGAAAAATGTCTATAAAGACCAGTATTTCATGAAAAATGCATCCCCTTAAAAACACTGAAAGCATAATCCTTGTCATATACAAAACTCAATAACAACATTCTTTAAACTATTTTTCATTTAGTTTGTCTTATCCAAATCTCTAGTATGCGAAAATCATAAATTTATCGTCGTCATATTTAGACAGGAGAAATGCTTAGTAAACAAGCATAAGACTATTACTTGTGGAAAAAATCAGCTATTACTCGTGCAAGCAAAGAATGTAACAGATGTCACATCAAGCAAAGAGCATTCTTATTCCCAATGGAACATATTTGTTAAAAAAAAAGGGAGAGAATTCCAAGTTCCTCTATTTAAGTAAGCCCAAAGGCAAAAGTTCAACAGAATGAAGCACAATAAGTAATTTGCAGAAAAAGACTAGCCATTCAGGTATATTGACATTTTTGTGCATAATCACTTGGCTATATGACCACTAAGACCTTTGGCATTCATAAACTTGTACTTCAGTTCTGCGTCGACTTTTCATAAAATACACCCTAGATACTCCAAAAAAAAAAGAATAGATCAAACTTAAGATAGTTCCACAATAACATTCTTATAAGAAGTTGTTCTTATAAATTTATACCCTCTCCATTCAATAACCTTGTCAAACCTACTATACTGGGACATATAAAATCACGTTCACCTTTCCTAAAACATCACTCGAATACCTTTCTTTTCCAATGTAAAAACGTACAGAAACATGGCATTTGCTTGATTTGTAACTGGAAAGTGCAGCTCAAAGTTTCCATCCAGAACAACACAAGCCAATACGTGCATATTTCCAACAAGAATATTTGTATCAGTTAGACTATAGATTTTCACTTTTAAATTGTATATCTACAAAACTACTGAACCTGGCCAAGTCAAAAAACTGATAACTCTTTTAACATAATAATTAAGACAATACCTTTTATAAGCTACTCAACAGGTGCATTCCTAAGTAAGAAAGAGATGGACTCCGCTAGGGGTGAGCAATTACGGTAATTACAAAATTACGACCGAATTCGATTTGAATTTGGTAATTCGAATTCGGTAATTAGGTAATTCGGTCGGTAAATCGGTGATATCAAATTAATTAGAATCGAATTAGGGTCGAAAATGGTTTTATAGTTTTTGAATTCGGATTTATCGAATTCGAATTTATTTCGGTAAAACGATAAATTATTACCGTTTCAATTTCGAAATTCCGAATTAAGTTAAATAGGAAATAATATCCTTATGTCCAGATGTTCCAATTTCAGACTTTTGCCCTAAATTAGCATTCGTTCCCATCAGGTAAAATCGTTCCCATTGGCTCAAATCCATCTGCCCAGATGGTGCAGTCTGTGCATAACCTATGGTGTCTCCACAATCCAAATGCATCTTGGTTAAGCGAGGATACCGCACCAGAGTGCTCAAACCCAAAGGGGTACTGTGCATGTTTTGACCATTCCCTGCAATCTCCTTCAACCTTGATTTGGATCTCCTCCAGGTTGGGACAATCCTCAAGACCAGCAGCAGTCAACGGGGTTAGAAGCTCACTGCTCACCCACGCCAATCCAGAGTGAAAGACATTGCAGTCTGTCCCATGAGTTGCTACAAAATCCATTGCCCTGCTGTTAAATTGCAGAGCAGAGCAATTCAGATCGTAGGAGTGTCTGCACCTCTTCTTCTTGCTGCACATGATATCACTGTCATAATCTCCAAAGTAGTTAACAGATCCATTCGACTGGTTCGATGCCCTAAGAAGCATTTTCCACGAATTCGATTAAATTTGGTAAATTTTCGTTACCTAATTCAATTCGGATTGAATTCGAATTCGATATTTCCTATTTCGAATGCGAATTAGGTCGAATATTTCCAGAACCATTTACCGAAAATTACCGATTTCAACCTACCGAATTACCGACTTCGAATTCGATGCTCACCCCTAGACTCCGCCACAAATTTTTGTATGCTACCATGTGGATAGTATCTCAGTTTCACTGTTACTCTGTTATACACAGACAGATAGAGCAAGAGAGAGAGAGAGAGAGAGAGAGAGAGAGAAGAAACATTAGAATTTAAAGTATAGTTCGAGGAATTTTTCTACAAATCAAACCATTTACATGATAATACAACAGGAAGACACACTGAATGTGCACCAGTAAATCAACAAAGCCAGTCAAGCTTCTTGATTTCCATAGATTTACTTCCAACCCATGTTTGAGTTTACTATATTCTCTCAGATATAAGTGGATTTCTACAGATTTGTGTTGCAGCAATAGGTAGTACAAGAATAATTAACCTCAGTTTTCTATATTTTGTTGAGAAATACTAAGAAATCAAACTAAGTTGTTTAAGAAGCAATTTAAAACCAAAATTTGGCATTCATATTCTCCTTACATCCAATAAAACACTTAACATACATGCACACACATATATAAACATGGATAAAAGCAACTTCCATCATATGTACTTACTTTAGCACATGAATGACATCCTTTATCAGATATTTCTGCAGGAACATCATAATGTATGACCATGACTAAAAATCTGAGGAAGCCAAATTCACAATTTCAGCATCTAGTATTCCGAATTAGATATTGCATCAGAATTCAAAACAAAATAACACAACAAGATACTTGGCTTGACCTGCTTAATTATGTCTGGATCCTTATCACCACCATTTTTCAGAAGAAATACTATAGCATTCACAATCCTCTGGAGAAAGCTGGGACACAGTCAAGGAAACACCCACAAAAAACAAGGACGCATTAGGAGTGACTTAGAAGACAATATTGCTGCGAAAGGGTAGGAATTAAGAATTACCACTGGTCCAGTCACTGAATATCATGCACTTCTAACAAAGACAAACATGCACAACAGGAGCCAGCATACAAGTTAAAATTGTTAAATTAATAAATGTTCAAGCATGAGTTGTCCATATTTCTACATGGCCCCAGGAACCCCAGTGCCAAAAAAAATGCCAGAAAGGAGCAAAAGAGAACTAATTGGGAAACTCTAACTGCTAACAAAAATTGCCTTAAATGTTAAGCGGAGGAAAACTTGCGTAACAGCAAATTCATTACAATTTTTAGCAATCTGCATGCAGAGCTCATGAACTCCATCACGCACATACTGCAACACAGGAGTGTAAGCCAAAAGATTTCTCAAGCACTTGAAAAAAATGAACATAAGACGACGGTAATGTGATGCAGAAGAAAAATTAGTTGGTATCTATGAGTTAAGGTTGATGAATCTGTATCTGCCATTACTGTAGCAATGTAAGTTTTCAGTTTTTTTCAGGGATTGATTCTCATTATGTTCTTCTCTTAGCTGACCTGGAACTGATTGAGGGACCCATTGGATTCAATTTTTGGGAGGAAATTTTCTTTATCTAACCCTATACAGTTGGAAATCTATAAAGTACAATGCGTTTCACTAAGTCTTGTTTAATACAAAACGTGACTCTTATATATTTCCTTCTCATAGCACTAAAATATTATGCTAAATTCTGTTTTCCTTATTCTTTTCTCTTGCTTTGGGCTATGTCATGCGAGAAGTGACACTAGCCATAATTATTGATCTCTCATTCTCAGATTCTGAAAATCCCAAATACTGAAAGAAAGGCAACAGGAAAACCTCCACAAATATACATATGGATCTCACTACAAGCATAGTAAACTGTCAGGAAAGAGAAACTTAAAAAACATGAAAGCCTCAGATAACATATATGGAACTTACGGCAAAAAATCCTCCAGAAGATCCCTTGATAATGTGGCTACCAACCTGCCAAGAAACACAAAAGCCACATATGCACCCAGCAATGTTTAACAATAAACCGCAAGGGAATCAATACACACTTAATTAGGAGAATGACAATCTGTAACTAAACAATACTTTATGTCAACAACTTCCATGGCAAACCAGCCATCCACCTTTACAGTTTACTGAGGTGAGAGTTGAACACGTTGCAATTAAATAAGAAATGAAATAAACTAGAAAATCCACAAGTGCTTGCTTTTGCATCCGAGATATGATTCAGGATGTGATTAAACCCATTTCACTAACTCAGGCCTCTACAACTACATTAGTGTAGTTCTAAAAGGTATATATTCAGAATAAATCTTCACTCGAAAAATTTTAGTTCCAATATCGAGACATATGCCTACAATGATCCAAGTTAAAACAACAGGAAACACTAATAATATTAAAGAACCAAAAAAGAAAAAGGCCTTGAGCATTGATTTGTTTTTCCTTTCCACCATTTTCCAATCTCGATGAGACAATTCTTCAAAACATACATAAACACCAAATTTGCAAGAATACCTGAGTATTGGCTCCAGTGATAGCCTGCTTTTTATTTGTAATCTAGAAAGCAGTTTTGAAACGATCAATTCCTTTTGCAATATAATTTGTGGTAGGGTTTGTACCAAGGGAACATTTTCTTGATAAAATGAAATAAAATCCTCAGCAGTATTTAATTCCTGCATTTGTCAAAAAAAAAAAAAAGACAACAATATCAGCAGAATTTAAATGTGAGATGGAAGTGTACAAATTTTTGCTATCTCAAAAAAGGTATAATCATATGAAGTTGGATAGAAAGGACAAAACAAACAGCAATCTAGAAATATCCAAGACATAATAAATTCCTGACAAGTACACCCAGACAGAAGCAGACAGACCAGCCATGCCATACATTAGATCCATAACCTTGTGGATAGTTTCCAGCACAGTAACATAGAGGCTGAAAACCAATATGGAACAATGCCGAGAATCTTCTTTAGACCTTCCTGCCTAGGCAAAAATACCAAAGGAAGAAAACAAGAACTTCCAGAAAATATTCAAAACAACCCTCACTAAACATGATTCTGATCATGTCACCTTCATAAATTACTTATCCTAACACAAACTCCTTTGGCTTGAAAACATTCTTTGGTGCTTTAGAAGTAATAGCACTTCCTACATCAAAAGGCTGCCATTGATTTACTCCTCCTACCTCAAGCAAGATATGGACCACACCTTCATTTATTTCACATTAACTTTGTAGATTAAGGACAGTGCCAAAACTACTAAAACTAATCTGCCTGTATATGCCAGTAGATTAGTCTACAAAGCCAGAAGGGTCATCCTCATCTAGTCACTGTTACATCAAAACGACCAAGATTCTACACAGCATCATCAACATCTCCAAAGCACATTGTCCAGCACCGCAAAACCCCCTGAAAAATCCCCTTACCAATTGAAATTCCCAAACTAACACACTCAAAATAAAACTAATTTTCTAGCTTCTGAATAAAAAATGAACTTTTGAAAGATATATGGTAGAAAAAAAGAAAGCCACAAGTAGATTCCATGTATTGCTTATATTGCACAAATGGCTTTCTGAATCCTTTAAAAACATAAGCAGGCACCTATAACTGATGTTTAAAACCAAACAAGTCGGAACAAAGCAGATGAAAAAGCTTTTCTTGAAATGCTACCCACTTTTCATGTAAGCTTAACAGTTTCTCCTGATGTGCAGACCATCAAATTCCAATAAAATGTCTCATTTTACTTTAATGTTCCTACTTGTCATCTAAAAATGAAATCTTTATCCTAAAAGACCAGCCAATAAATGTACTGATATCCCAATAAAAACCCTCGAGAAATAGCTGCACAAGTTACACAAAAAAAAACTACAATTCAAATCACAATTACTTCAGAAATAGAAGAATATTGAAACATGCTCTCCATTCAACTAGGCAATCGCGAAAAACGTGGACCCTTCAGAAGGCTCAGCTTTAACAGGGTCCAAACTTCGGTATACATTAATATCAATCTCTGCAATTTGTTGAACAATGGACATGTACTGCACCACCCCAAAAAAAACTTCAGAATTTAAAAAAAAAAAAACAATTCCATAATACTTTCATCAGCCAATAAGGAAAAAAAATGAACAACTTGAATAAAAGGAACTGCAATTTTTCATATGCATACAAAAATATTAAGAAAGATAGATAGCTTACAACAAATTTCTTGCTTCCTCGCCTGTGTTTAGAGACTTTATGGCTCGAGCGTCCGCGGGCGTCGCCATTGGTGCCTCTACCCAAGCTCAATCTCTAGAAAAGGGATGGAGAAGGGGGAGGGTTCAACTTTAAGAGGTTAGCTAACTACCAACTTCAGAAGTTGAGAGGAGGGTTTAAGATTTTCAGTTTATTGTTGTTCCTTTTTGACCTTTTTTTTTGTTTTGATTTTTTGTCAGTTAACTTATTCATATATTTTTCCATCCGACATGGAAAATTAGGTTTTATTGAGGTTTTACCTACTTTAGGCAAATTAATAAAAATGAACCTAATTTTCCACGTCGGATGGAAAAATATATGAATAAGTTAACTGACAAAAAATCAAAACAAAAAGAAAAAGGTCAAAAGGAACAACAATAAACTGAAAACCTTAAACCCTCCTCTCAACTTCTGAAGTCGGTAGTTAGCTAACCTCTTAAAGTTGAACCCTCCTCCCATCTCCATCCCTTTTCCAGAGATTGAGCTTGGGTAGAGGCACCAATGGCGACGCCCGCAGACGCTCGAGTCATAAAGTCTCTAAACACAGGCGACGGAAGCAAGAAATTTGTTGTAAGCTATCTATCTTTCTTAATATTTTTGTATGCATATGAAAAATTGCAGTTCCTTTTATTCAAGTTGTTCATTTTTTTCCTTATTGGCTGATGAGAGTGTTGAAAATCTAGAATATCTTTTTCTATGTATATCCCATGATTTCTGCTATATCCCATGATTTCTGCTCTATTTTAGGATAGAATAATTTACTCCTAATGTATTTTAGGATAGAATAAATTAGCTCCTAATTTTTAGGAAATTACAGATTTCATGGAATTGACAAAAGTCAAATTCCATTTGTATAAATGTTGTACAGAGTCTAGAACAAAAGATATGACAGAACAATTCAGTTTTCTTTTTGTTCATGGTATCAGAGCTTTTGCTCTTGGGACCTCTTCTTGTCAGCCTTCATTGCTGAGTGCTTTCCTCTCTTCAAGTCTTTATTGCCAAGTGCAATTTCCAGCCTTCATTGCTGATTTTTTCATTAGGCCTTCATTGCCAATTTTTCTTTGAAACCTCCAACATGTCTGAAACTGAAACATCAGAAATCCACTCCAATACCAAATCAGAAGAGACCTCAAATATTCCACAAACAGGGGATTTGCAGAGTATCCAGGCAGCCTACAGGCTCAACGGGAAAAACTATTTGAAGTGGTCACAATTTGTTCAAACATTTCTCAAAGGAAAGGGCAAAATCAGCCACTTGCTTGGAACTGGACCGAAAAAGGGAGATCCTAAATTCGCTGCTTGGGATGAAGAGGATTCTATGGTCATGTCATGGCTGTGGAACTCCATGTTACCTGAAATAAGCGATACTTGCATGTTCCTACCAACAGCTCAAGATATATGGACTACTATTCGACAGACCTATTCAAAGGCAGGAGATGCTGCCCTAATCTATGAGATCAAAACAAAGATCTCAGCCACTAAACAGGGCAACCTTTCTGTTACTCAATATGCCAACCTTCTGCAAAATCTATGGCAGGAACTGGACCAATATATCGGTGTGTTCAGATGTTGTGTAGTGAAGATGCAGCCACCTTGAAAAACTTTATCGAAAAGGATAGAGTTTATGACTTCCTTGCAGGTCTGAATGTGGAATTTGATCAGGTCAGAGTCCAGATATTGGGGAAGGAAAGATTATCATCTCTGAATGAGACAATATCATTGATTCGAGCTGAAGAGAATAGGCGAGAAGTCATGTTAGAGCCTAAAACATTAGAAGGCTGCAATGATTTCTACAAAGTCAAATAAAGACACAATTTGGTGCACGTACTGCAAAAAATCACGCCATACGCGAGATGATTGCTTCAAACTCCATGGGAAGGAACAAGTCCTTAGTCGTAAAGGAGGATTCAAAGGGGGAAAAGCCCACTTAACTGCTGGAGAAGACCAAACACAAGAAAAATCCAACCAGGCTGGTATGGGAGAATTCAAGAAAGAAGAAATCGAAAAGCTAAGAAACCTCCTAAATTCCCTTGAAAAGTCCTCTAGTACGTGTTCATTGGCTCAATCAGGTAAGTACCTTAACTCTTATGCTTTAAGTGCCTCAAGCATGTCTTCTCTAGGCTCTTGGGTCATCGACTCAGGAGCTACTGACCATATGACTCACAGCCCAATCAGATTTAGAACATACAACCCATGTCCTGGAAATAGAAAAATTACTGTTGCGGATGGATCTCCTATAACTGTTGCAGGCCAAGGGACAGTAAATCTATCAAATTCTTTGTCCCTAAATAATGTGTTGCATGTCCCAAAATTGTCCTCCAATCTCATATCCATCCATCAAATTACCAAAGATCTGAACTGTAGAGTAATTTTCTATCTACTCACTGTGTTTTTCAGGATTTGGTTACGGGGAGGACGATTGGACTTGCTAAGGTGAATGACGGGCTTTATTACCTTGAGGAGATGAGTGGCAACAAGAAGAACAAAAATCAGTTATCCCTCACCTGCTCCTCAAATAATAAATCTGAAATTTGGCTTCATCATTTCCGTCTTGGTCATCCATCTTTTATTCTACTTAAAAGCATGTTTCCTTCACTTTTCAAGAATGAAGATGTTAGTAGTTTTCATTGTGATACATGTGAAATTGCTAAACATCATAGACTATCATTTCCATTGAGTAATACAAGATCTACTAGACCTTTCTCTTTGATACATACTGATATTTGGGGGCCTTGTAGAATTTCTAGTATTTCTGGAGCAAAATGGTTTGTCACATTCATTGATGATTGTACTAGAACTACTTGGTTATTTCTTATGAAAGAAAAATCAGAAGTAAGCAGTATTTTTCCAATGTTTCATAAAATGATTTGTACACAATTTGGAAGTTTGATTAAAAGAGTAAGATCTGATAATGCAAGAGACTATTTTAATCAAATTCTCTCATCTTTTTTCCAAAAAGAGGGTATAATACATGAGTCATCTTGTGTAGATACACCCCAACAAAATGGGATTGCTGAACGAAAAAATAGACATTTACTCAATGTGACTCGAGCAATTTTGTTTCAACATAAAGTTCCAAAAACTTTTTGGGGGGAGGCTGTTTTAACTGCTGCACATTTGATAAATAGAGTACCTTCAAAAGTACTAAATAATCAAAGTCCCATTGCTGCTCTTTCTTTTTTTACCCTGATTTTAATGTCTCTTGCACATTGTCACCAAAAGTGTTTGGTTGTGTTGCTTTTGTACATGTTCATGCACACCAAAGAGGGAAACTTGATCCAAGAGCTTTAAAATGTATTTTTGTGGGATACTCAAACACAAAGAAAGGATATAAGTGTTATCATCCTCCTTCAAAAAAATTTTTTACCTCCATGGATGTCACATTTGTTGAAAATGAACCTTACTCTCAAAGTAACAATCCTCATCCCCAGGGGGAGAGTTCTTGGGAAGATAAGGAATTTCTCCTTGATCTTCAAAGTCCTACACTAAACTTAAAGTCTTTCAAGCCTGACCATACACCAAATTCTAAAGGAGAACATACTAGCAGTGAACCTGAACCTGAATTTGAAGTTGAACATGCCAGTAAAGAAATTGAACCTGATCTTGGAGCTGAGGGAAAATCTGGTTTAAATCCAACTACACCACTCAAGGTCTACTCAAGGAAGAAAGTTCATATTTCTGAACCTGTGCAAATCCAAGAATCTGAACCACAATCAGGTACTGAAAATTCTGTTCCTTTGTGTGTTCAATCTGACTCTGCTCCTTGTGAATTTAATGATTTAGACCTGCCTATTGCTGTTCGAAAAGGAACACGAGAATGCACTAAGCATCCAATCTCAAATTTCGTGTCTTTCCATAGACTCTCTCCACAACATAAAACTTTCCTTACCACCATCAACTCCATTTCAATCCCACAAACACTACAAGAGGCACTTAGAAATAAGAACTGGTTACATGCTATGAAAGAGGAGATGAATGCCCTAGAGAGAAATAAGACTTGGGAAATTGTAAACCTGCCCAAAGGAAAGAAAACAGTGGGGTGTAAATGGGTGTTTACTTTGAAATATAGAGCTGATGGTTCATTAGAAAGGCATAAAGCTCGGTTGGTCGCAAAAGGATATACACAGACATATGGGATAGATTACCAAGAGACCTTTGCACCCGTTGCAAAAATGAATACTGTGCGTGTTCTTTTGTCTTTAGCCGCTAACTTTGGTTGGTGTTTACAGCAATTTGATGTGAAGAATGCATTCTTACATGGGGATTTAGAAGAAGAGGTGTACATGGAACCTCCACCGGGTTTCAATGAAATGTTTTTTGAAAAGAAAGTGTGCAGGTTAAAGAAAGCTTTATATGGATTAAAACAATCGCCAAGGGCTTGGTTCGGAAGATTTACTAAAGTGATGTTAGCAATGCAATACAAACAAAGTCAAGGAGATCATACTTTGTTCATAAAACATTCAAAAGGAGGTGTTACAGCTCTACTTGTATATGTAGATGACATCATCATCACCGGGAATGATCCAATTGAAAGAGAAACACTCAAAAAGTGCTTAGCAAAGGAGTTTGAAATTAAAGAACTAGGGAGGCTGAAGTATTTTTTAGGCATTGAGGTGGCATACTCAAGTAAAGGCATCTTTGTTTCCCAACAAAAGTATGTCTTAGACTTGCTTAAAGAAACAGGCAATCTTGGATGCAAGGCAGCAAGCACACCCATTGAGCCTAACTTGAGATTGAATGAAGAGAAGGATGATAGCACAGTAGATAAGGGAAGATATCAGCGGTTGGTTGGGAAACTGATATACTTGTCCCATACAAGGCCGGACATAGCATTTGCTGTAAGTGTAGTAAGCCAATTTATGCATGATCCAAGAGAGAAACACTTGCAGGCTGTCAATAGAATTCTATCCTACCTCAAAGGGACACCGGTAGAGGAATTTTGTTCAAGAAAAATGAAGGATTGCTCATAGAGGCATATACTGATGCTGATTATGCAGGTTCTGTTGTAGATCGTAGATCAACTTCAGGATATTGTACATTTCTTGGTGGGAACCTAGTGACATGGAGGAGTAAGAAGCAATCGGTTGTTGCAAGATCAAGTGCTGAAGCAGAGTTTAGAGCTATGGCTCATGGAGTTTGTGAATTGCTATGGCTCAAAATAATACTTGATGATCTTAAAATCAAGAGGAAGGACCTATGAAACTCTATTGCGACAACAAGTCTGCCATCAACATTGCACACAATCCAGTGCAACATGATCGCACAAAGCACATCGAAGTTGATAGACATTTTATTAAAGAAAAGCTGGACAGTGGCATGATTTGCACTCCATATGTAGCATCAAATAATCAATTGGCAGATGTCTTAACTAAGGGAATGCCAACTTCCAACTTTGAAGACATTACATGCAAGATGGGAATGGAAAATATCTATTCACCATCTTGAGGGGGAGTGTTGAAAATCTAGAATATCTTTTTCTATAATATATCCCATGATTTCTGCTCTATTTTAGGATAGAATAATTTACTCCTAATGTATTTTAGGATAGAATAAATTAGCTCCTAATTTTTAGGAAATTACAGATTTCATGGAATTGACAAAAGTCAAATTCCATTTGTATAAATGTTGTACAGAGTCTAGAACAAAAGATATGACAGAACAATTCAGTTTTTCTTTTTTGTCAGAGAGTATTATGGAATTGTTTTTTTTTTTTTTAATTCTGAAGTTTTTTTGGGGTGGTGCAGTACAAGTCCATTGTTCAACAAATTGCAGAGGTTGATATTAATGTATACCGAAGTTTGGACCCTGTTAAAGTTGAGCCTTCTGAAGGGTCCACGTTTACTCTCCATTCAACTAGGCAATCGCGAAAAAACGTGGACCCTTCAGAAGGCTCAGCTTTAACAGGGTCCAAATTTCGGTATACATTAAGCATAAAAGTAAGCTTGGTAATCTAGTATTCGGCTAGAAATAAGCTAATTAATGTTTCTAGATTCAGAACAAGGTAAAGACCATGAGAAATATATGGATAAACATGAAAATGTATACATTTTGACTTTTGCATTTCAACAGTTTTACATGACCTATGGATTTCTCAAATTTTCAAGGTTGAAACAAGTGCTTACTGACTTTCCATCAATAATTGGATTTCACAATTGAAACATGCAAAATCCAGATACTACTCGATAAATGAGGAAACAGACGACATGTCTAGTAGCAGAGTCCATGATTAATAATATCCATGCCTAAAGAACACTATCACCAGCATCGTCTAGTTCATAACTTATTTCACTTTCCACCAAAAGGAAAATTAAAGGAACACAGTAGGAACAAACATGGGAAGTGTATGAAGTTTACATACTATATTCTTGTGACTATTTTCAGTGTGCAAGACTTCACAAATTCTCCACCTTAGTCCCTGAAAATATCGGCGTACCGTGCACGGGCTGTGCTGGACTTCAGAGGTCTATAGAGCTTGCAACGATAAAAATGAATGTCAACTTCTGTTATTATTGCCTCTAGCAAGGCCTATGTGTTTTTCTAAATCTTTGATTGTATAGGCATCTTCTACAGATTGATAAGGGATTTAAAATCTCTCTTGCTATGAACAGAATATAAAGAAAGTGTGTCTTATATTCGTGATCTACAATCTAGAAGCCTAGCTTTTCATCATAATGAGTTATGGGACAACATAATTTGAAAAATGTTGCATACTTTTCTTGGATCTTTTTTAGTCCCTTTGGATTTAGTTTGGGTGAAAAGAGAAGGAATTAGAGTTGCTCATGCACTGAGCAGGCAAGCTAAGAATGTTGATTATCAAAGTGTAATTGGTGCTCATTGCGCCTAACTGCGTCCAGCCTTCATTTTTGGGTCATTCTTACAAACAGATCCTATTCTTTTCTCTCAAAAATTACAAAATTTAAAATAGGAAAATATTCGAAAGTAAAATCTAAGTTTTTCTTTCAAATATATTATTTTGCTTGCATAATAAATACGTTTTTCAATCAACTTATTTATGTTTCCAACTATCTTTTCATCTCACACACACACACAAAAAGTGTTACAATAATCAGTTTGAATGATGTTTCAAATAACATACTATAATTCAATATAATGTCTTCTTGAGAAGAAGATTTTGAACTAAAAACAAGCAAATCTTACACAAAAGCGTTCAGGACCCTCCTAATCCCTCATATTCACATATCTTAATTTTTATTTTCTCATTTAATCAGTATATACCTTGATGGTTATTCTTATGTAGTGTCAATCTAATTTACTACTCCCTCCGTCCCATTTTGATAGTCCTGTTTTCCTTTTTCGTCTGTCCCAAATTATAGTTTACTTTTCAATTGAAAAATGTAGTTGTATTTTAAATTTCCTAACATACCGTTATTCAATATAAATTGTTGTTACTATAAACTTACCCCATTCAATGAGAGAGTTTATTCTCTTTTTACTATCAATTCAAATTCTCATAAAGTTGTACTCTAATTAATGTGAACGTATTTTAGGAAAATAGCTATCTAAATTGATTGTTCTAACAAATTTAACTACTTTTTCTTAAATTGTGTGAAAAAGAACCAAAACTATCAAAGTGGAACGGAGGGAGTATCAATTTTCTTTTCCAACTTTTAGGTCCTTGAGAATTTGGTCCGAGCACAATTAGGATGTCAGAACATACCTGTAAGATGATAGGAAACATTTTTCACTTTCTCCATTCTCATGGAATGTCTTTTGCTTGCATTTATCAATTTTTTTTTATACAAATTCAAGTACAACATTGTTATAAATGGTCCTGTACGGAAAAAAAGGGGAATAAGGATGAATCTATCTAATTTATTGAAAGGCACGAAGGAGTAAAATAACCTTCGACCAAACTAAAATCTAGATAGGAAACGCAATCAAGTAGTTGAACCCCTTGACTAGCGTCCAGTGAGGAGCTTTAGTTCTTTTTGGTGGCCACTAAACCAAGACCCAGTAGTTGCATTTATCATGTAAAAACACAATGAAGAAATTAACTTGATATATTTCCTTCTGCATGCACTTAGTTGAGGCGACATAAGGTAGAAGAGATGTTTTAATATCTAACACAGACGAATCAGACAAATCATATGACCCTCCAATCAACTGTTGTAGTGCAATTGCTCGTGCCTTTGATCTCACTGCAGTAACTATTTAGTGAAGGATGTTGCTAAATATCATTACTACTATGAAAGTATTGAGGTTAACAAATGTATGATATCCAAAGATACATTTGCCCAAGTATGCTAAATTCTAAAAGATATTTCACTTTTTTACTAAACCCTAGATGCATTTACCACAATTTACACTACCAAAACTTTTTCTGTAAACTCAACATGGTCGTATAACACTTGAAACCAGACGCCTGCATGATGCAGAAAATGTCTTCCCAGCTCATTTTACCTGAAATTGGAAATGTTCCGCCCCTGCAGGGCAATAAACACCAGGCAACACTCCTCACGCCCATCCAAGCCAGTTGCTCGATACATGCCTTTGAGTCAGGGATTTTACAAAAGCATCTATCCCATAAGTGATGGCACCAGTCCTGTAATCAGACGTAAAAATGAGCTGGGAAGACATTTTCTGCATCATGCAGGCGTCTGGTTTCAAGTGTTATACGACCATGTTGAGTTTACAGAAAAAGTTTTGGTAGCGTAAATTGTGGTAAATGCATCTAGGGTTTAGTAAAAAAGTGAAAAACCAGTCGCATGTATACCAGTCTTTACAGTTTTCAACGCATCCATCTTCCCATCTTCAAAGTCATTATTTTTCTTTTCTTGTTGGCACGATGCTTAGCTGCAATCCTCAGCTTTCTCTTAGCATTTCGAACAGGATTAACCACAGCCATGAGCTTTTCTTCGTGTTTCCTCCTATCCCTCTTTGCTTTGAGATCTTTCTGTATTTGACTGTAAACTTGAACAAAGTTCTGCATTCCCATGTTATCTCGAATGCTTTCACAAACCTCTTGTGCTAACTGCTTCATATCATCTGCCAGAGATTATAGAATAATGATGTAAAGATACTGTGTTTAAGAACATCAGCGAGCCAAAAGTGATTACAGATAACCTTGCAAGGTGAGATCCATTTACTTCATTTTCCCGTTGAAAAAAAAAACACATGCTTGTGAGAGTATATTTGAAGCCATCAAGATGCAGGGTAATATTTCTTTTTCTTCCCACATAACCTTTTTGGTTTGTATGGCTTCCCAGCACAGGCATGATTTGATGCTTAAAGACTATCACAGTACTAGACAAACTGTTTCATTGTTAACTTTTTGAATAGAAAGCAATATATTTCACAAAACAACGCCTTCCAATTAACCAGAACAAAATTTTTTCACACAGCAAATCTCCATGCCTACTTTTGCACTCCCCATAGGTGAATTGAACGTTATTTGATAAACCACTGGAAGCAAGAAAGCATTGAAAATACATCAGTTTAGAGAGAGTAGGAAAAATCTTTTCCGACCATATTCCACATTGAATTTCAAGTAGATAGTGTGTAACAATTGTCATGATTCATTCAAATACGGACTTTTAAGTAATTTCCATCTTTTAATTGTCCTGGTGCAGGGAAGATGACTTTATTAATCAGACAAAAAAAGAAAAAAAAAAGATATCGTCTAACATGAAACTAACACCTACAACCATCACTTTTCCCATATAAATTCGGACTCAAACAAATTAATTCTATTTAATGAATATCTTTGCTATTTTTAAGACAGAGATCCTCTTTCAAGTTTCAGGAGTCAATACCATGACATCCAGCTGTATGAAACAGAAAACAAGCAACATAACAACTGTTTATATTGCTACTCAGACTTTATTAGAACCAATAAATTATGTCAACAACCATTATTTACAAGTCACGCAGTTTAATGAAAAGTTTGCTTCCCAAACACATCTAATCAACAAGAAATCCAGTACCTAAAAAAAAAAACTACTACAACTACTACAGACATTTGAAGGTAATCAAAGACGTGCAACTGGATGGATCCTAAACACAAGGAAAAATCCGTAAAGATTGAATACAACGATAAATCTGTAAGGCATAGGGGACCATTATGCCAATTCTTGAGTTCATCAAAATTTAACACTGGTGGAAAATTTTCCAGATAAAGGAAACCCATCATAAATCATACAGGAGTAAAATAATGCAAGACAATAGTAAAGAAAAAGACAGGAAAAAACTTAAACTCATCAACCAGAAAAGATTGCAACCGCAAGAAAATCATTTCAATCAACTAGACAAAATTCACAATGAAGTACACAATACACCTAAACAAGAAGAATATGATCAGACTAAGAACGTATATTTTGTTAGTCTTTTTATATCGAGGAACAATAATCTAGCTAGCAATTTGACAACTGCACTTCCTATATTTTTCACATGGCAAGAATAACATTGATTTTTTCTGAATATAAGTATCAGAATAATGCAAACAAGCATCGGACTTGTAACCCTTGCAATTATAAGCAATAAAGAAACAGGGTAGAGATGGGGAGAAAGACAGACTGTGTAGAGTCATGGCATTTGGAGGGCAGGCAGGTGGGAAAAATGGATAATGCACCTCTGTCAAGTAATGGTATCAGAAGAATTTACCTGAAACAACTCTACCGGCATATCCTTCACAGACTTTGTATAGAGGTACCAGCATCTGGTAAGAATAATTTTGCCCACTATCCTCCAGGACCAGTGTTGTATTCTTGTATTCTCCAAGAAGTGTTGGTGAGATCAACTTGAAACAATGAATACAACTTTCATCTGCACAAAAACATCACACGGAATTTAAAAATTTAAAAAAAAAAAAGGAATTCCAAGATACTGAAATTTGAAAACATGGTAATTTGACCTGAACAGACCCGTAATGCAAAAAGGTTCTCATATATGTACTTCCATAAATGCTAAACACCACGCTCTTACAAATTCTACAAATACAAGAAGAATGCGAACATCATAAACAAATGAAGAGTTCTGAGATTCAGTGCACCTGTATAGTCTCCATTGCCAGAGATATCCTTCCCATTCTTTTGAGCAGATAAGAAACAATAAAGTATTGTTGGGGCTTATTTTTCTGTTCACTGTGTGGCACACCAAGGTCAGAGGTAAGATATGCTAATGTGCCCCTTCCCTTCCTTGAATCCAGCATATGGAAAGCTTTAAGAAAACAACCTTGCTCTTTATCTTCAAGCTGAGACCAGAACTTTGGAAAATCAACATATTCAATCTGTCGTAGGAGCGAATGCAAATGACAAATTGTAAAGACAAGGTTATGCGTAATCAAGGTGCTGGCAGCATCATCTGGTGGCTGTGTTTTCAGTTGGTAGCAAAGTGAGGCTGCTATGTGGAAAAGTCTAGTTGGTCTCATGAGAAAGCATGCTTCTCTGCAAGATTCAGTTACGTGTGTAAAGTACAATGTCACTAAACGACTTGATATGTTTCGCAACCACAAATGTGGGTGCAATAGGAACTCGCAGATCATCTCCCATATCTCCTGTAAGAAACCATATGTAGAAGACGTCTATAAGATCATCACCATAAAGGATAACGAAAACATAAAGGGAAACCACAAAGATTCCTAATGTC